CTTAAAGTTGCTTACATTATTTCTCATGCTGCTGCTTGTGATTGAACAAAAGAAGAACCTAGCGCCTAATGATAAACCCTCAGAAAGGAAATGTTTTCTGTGTTGAGCTGTGGCAGAGGAAAAGAGGAGGTGCAGGCGCTTCGTCTTTACATGGGGTCTTCCGGAAATTCCCCCCGTTTAGAGGGGCCTTTTCAGTTATCGGGAGACATTGACTTATCGCCGCCGGAGACAAGTCGAAACGGCAACGTTGCATCGGCTACAGCTTGCTGAGGCTCGCTGCCAGCAGCTGAGTGGTACCGTCTACTGGACTGCGACTGCATGAAGCATGCGATAAAAATATCAACACAGCTTAGTCTGGCGTCTTGAGAGGCTTGCATATAGTAGCCAGACCTCAATTAGTGCTAGTATCATTCAATGAAGAAGCCCTAAGGTACAGATGCTGAGCTGCTGAGTCTGCTACGTCAGCCTCGGGTCGACTTCCCTGAACGAAGACCGAGCAGCGCCCCTTCCACGCGCTGCTGTAGTAGCGGGCGCATTTTTTCCTGTCCCAACCGCTGTACTCACGGTGCCTTTGGTTTGCACTCATTTCGTCTCTCAATTAAGGCGCATCGCATGTCGTGTAGCAGCGGCCATGAGGAATTGCTCCATGTGGCCCGGGGTGCCAGTGGCACCGCAGCGCTCTTCTGGTGTGTACACATATGTCTGGTACTGCGCTCATTCACCAGGCATCACGAGAATTTTTTGTTCTTGTTGGAAGCTGTGTGGGCTGAAGGGAATGTAGTATGCCGGTAGGTAGCCTTGGACGCCAGGAGGTCCGTAGTTCCTCCAGTCACGTCCCGCCTCGGATGTCTCATTGCCTGCTTCTCCTAGGTTTTCTGTAGCTGCTGGGGGATTGTGCAGGTGGCAGTTCGCGTCTAATTCGTGAAGGCCGACGCACAGTGCCAGGACGGCTCTGCTTTCAGTGGGGGTGCTCAAGGCTCTGTGTGGTGCAGTAGACGATCGCACTAGTACAGTTGCACTAGTTGCACATATTGTCGTGGGATGTGGCAGCGCAAATGCGTTGAGCTGTAGGGGCACTGTCAGAGGATAGTTCCTCCGTTCCCCCGTCCGCAAGGGTCACTAAGTGGTCGCGTGTCCCTTGGCAGTAAGCAAGGTTATGCACACTCCCAGTGCCGCACCATCTTAAGTTTCAGTCTTTCTATATTTCCTCACTGAAGGACGTTCCGGAAAAAGGCAACTTCAGTTTTGCGGTGGGTGTGCAGTGTCGTCTTCCTCACCCCCACAGGTGGCACTCGTTACACAATGAATAGCATATATTGCTAGTACACAATTTTGTACACTTAGGAATATGAATTCTGTTCATTTTAAACACAATTCATCATGTCTTGTTGGTTCCAAGCCCAGCTTGTCACTGCTACAGTCTGCGCCCGCGCCTCTCCCCCCTGCCTCAAGAGCGTCGAAGCAGCAGTGCTCTCCACTGGTCTGTTATAGCAAGACCATCGGTGCAGCCAGTCCGCCAGATTTTTGTTTTCTCTTTATTCAGTTATTATATTAATGTTTTTGTCAAGAGATCAGGCAATATATGCGTCTGGTCTCACAAAGTTGAATTGCGAGACGACAGCGTCCACCTCAGGATAGGGTCTCGCCTTCAACTGAATTGCGTTCCTGCTCTACTGCGTCATGGGCTGGGCCTACAACTCATTTTTCGTTTTTTGTGGTTCTGACAACACTGCAATCAACTGCAGTTCCAAAGGTGCTAAGTGTCTTTTTTTTAGGACAGCAGTTTTCGAAGGTACGGGATGTTGACCGCGTCGCATCCCAGCCTCACCCCCTACCGTCTTGAAGCAGAACGTAGGGACTCTTGAGCATTTTTGCGCATCAGGATCTTCCTGTTTTTTAATGAACTGAGTACTCGCTGAGGTAGATGCTTCGGCTGCACGCTGCTACCAGCACACCTAAGTGAACCACCCCCCTCTTGAAGGTTGAAGGACGCTCCAAGATTCGCCCTGTGCAGGGGTGGAGTTTATCGCAGCAGAGGGATATAGAATTTAAGTACGATTTTTGGAAAACTGTACCAGCTGTAATGAGCTCTGATCTTGAAGATATCGGAGCTGGGCACATGACAGGCGACGGTTCAGCAGTGGTTTGTTTTCGTGTTAATATATTGGAATATAAGTACCTTACGGGAATTTCTCTGCTTAGGAGAGCACAGGATAGGAATGGGGATTTGACGCATTTCGTCCCTCCGAGTAGAATTGTAGCTGTTCTTGGGTTTTCGCAGTCATTTGCGGTTGGAGGCTCCCTTGCTTTGCGAGTTCTGTCCTCGAGGTTTGCAGCTTGCATTTTAAGTCGTTTTTTTACCAACGAGTTGCTCTACACACTGACCGGAAAGAAGCATACTGTCCAGTCAGCGTGAGAAGTTCACGGTACACGGGTGCGAGGGAGGTCGCACAGCATTTTGTTTTCGGACGCTTTATGGAGGTGCTGGCGCTTTACTGCTTACGAGGAGCGTCTTCTCTACTCCTGAATAAGTGTATCTGTGCCGCCGCTTTATTTTGAGCTCCACGAGTGTTCAAATAAGGCCTGTCTCTCGGCAGCTAGTTGTTCTGTACTAGTTTCTGCTTGTTCTGGCACGGTTGAGCGTGTCTTCCTGAACCTGAGAAGTCCAGCCGCCTGACGGAGTATTGGAGGACCCGGCGGAGATCGGATTGATATAGAGGAAAGTAGCCGACATGGACGGCTTTAGACACGTCTTCCTTATCCCATCGGATGGGAGCTTTTCATCAATCCAGGGACAGCAGATGATGCCGTGGAAGGGCGGGTTTGCGGCAGATGGAAGGAACACACTTACTTCCATAGTCTCTCGCAAATCAGGTGACGGGGGCAATGACCAGCGCCTCGTCCTTGGCGGTGTTGCTGCAACGCTTGAGCATGTAGGCGAAGCTGCTCTTGGCGGCCATGCTGGTGACAAGAGCAACCCCGTAGAAGGCCCTCGGGGCCGTCGGTTGCCAGACGTCGAGCAGCTGTTCTTACCTAACCCTAGTGTGGTGCAGCAGCCAAAGGAATTGCTTTTGGAGCAGCTGCTTCACGCTGCAGAACAAGGTTTAGTTCAACCAGGGGCCCGGGAACCGGACGGTCAGCAGTATGTGGATATTTTGACGAAGTCCGGCTCGGCGCATTCCGGGGGGAGAAGAGCTCGCGATGGCACACCGTCTCCAATCAAGCACTCGGGTCGCGAGCGTCGAGGAGAGAAGGGGGTGTCCAGCCGCTCTTCCAACGCGATCCTCGACAGTCATTTAGCCCTCCAGACTGCCCTAGTCACAATGCTGCATCTTCAGGCACAAGGCGGGCTTCAACGGAAGCCCGTTTTCCCAAAGCGGTAATACTGCGTAGCGTGCTGGCATTTGACCCTCCACACATCGGAGTGCCCGCTGCGAGAGAATGATCTTGCGATCTGGCAGCTGTCTGGTGATCTTTTCTTGCAGACGTGCTCTGTATGAGTCTGCGTGGGCGAACTACTATTTTTTTTTTGCAGGAACTTGTTGTGTTTGAGTTTCTTGAGATTGGGTATCTGCCCAAATAGGGAAAGCTGCAACTATGCGCACAACATGACGGAACTGCAGAAGAAGCTGGAGCTGCGGAAGACATCTTTGTGTAAGTACTGGTTGAAGGGAAAGTGCGAAAATGAGGATTGCAATTTTGCTCATGGAGAGCACGAGCTTCAGTCGACTGTTGGTGTTTTCAAAACAACCATATGCAAGTATTGGCGACAGGGCTGTTGCTACAGTGGAGAACTGTGCAGGCACGCACATGGAGACGCGGATCTTCGACCGGAGAAGTACGCTTGCTTCAATTTCGTCGCATCTCACTCTAAAGTGGCTATCTGGTCCCGAGCAAAGTGCAGGTTGTTTTTGACAGCAGAAATGCGCCTTTTGAGAGTGCTCTGTGTGTTTGCGTGTGCCTTGTTGCTGCAGCCTTCCTCCTCACCTGGAGAGGAAGAAACGGCAGCAGCAGCAGTCTCGGCTTAGTGGACGGGGCTCAGGCCATAGAAGGGAAAGGATGCCGGCAGCCTGCGGTGCAGAAGCCGTGGAAGAGAACCATGACAAATTGAAGGACAAAGGTGAAGTCACGTTTGACTGCCTGCGACAGGTAATAAATGGAGGAATGCTACCTGACTCGGGCGCCAACGCGTCGGCATCTTCTTTGGACACACTTTTGGCCAAGGTGAACTCTCTGAAGCGTTGGGACACCCAAGGTTCAAGTAGTTCGGACCGCTCAACGGATGCTTTGTTGTCACCAGCTTCGGAATCTCCCAGGTGCTTGCCGTCTCGCAGTTGTACGAGCATCTCATCAGCATCAATGTGGAGTCTATCACCGGAGCACAGTTTCACTTCGTCTACTGCGACCGGATTGGGAAATGGCTGCGCGCTCCCCAGGCAGGCTGCACCTCTCCTGACCCGATGTTCTGATATAGGATTCGACGGCTCGACGCTAGTGGGTGCGCAGACGGCTCTTCTGGCCGTCCATGGTTCCAGGCGTAGCACTGAGCCTGCCTTCGGGACAAACCCCCTAATGGATGCTCAGGAGGTCTTTGGTGCATATGGGAAGTCGTACTCGTCGCCCATTCAGCTGCATAGCTCTACGGCTCCTCCACCAGGGCTTACAGGTCTACATAGCTTACGTGGTGCAGAGGAGATGCATTGCCGCTTACCACGGCGACGATGCGATTTGGACAAAGTAGTCCGAGAGAGTTCACCGTACAGAGAGAAGGATGCATCACGAACTGCATTTGCAGAGAACGGTGCAGAAGGCGGGAACAGCATCACATGGTCAGCAGCTTGGTAATTGCGAGCAATTTGTTGCAGAATCTGGTGCCACTTCTGCTCGCCCATTTTATTGCTGTTCCTTTGAAGAACGCAGCGTTCCGAGACCTTAAGCTACGGACAAGGATTCACATTAAATATATTGATTTTCGTTAAACAGGGATGATACCCCTGACGTCAGACGGTGTGCTGATGCAGGTACACGTGCTTGCGCGTCATGACTTGAAAACAAATGGATTGTTTCCCACGGGACGCGGCCTGATTTGCCTTGTTTGGCTGTCGCGCAGCTGTGGCTGCTTGTTTTGTTAAGATGCGTCCTTCCGTTAAGAAAGCGTGGCGCTTGTTGATTTTGCATGATCCGTGCCATGGCTCTTTCATACCAGTCCGTGATAATATATCATAGTCAGCCGTGTTGATTGAGATGCTTTGCATAACACGCGATGCCTTTTTTTTCTGTGGGCAGGAGAGAGGTATGTTTTTAAGCACCCGTCGCAGAAGTGGCTGTATTGGATGCGCAGAGAGGGCGGTGATGAGTAGCATTTAGCAGTTGCCGCTCGGCTTGTCACCGTTTGCTTACCAGCCATGTGTGGAGACTCTGTATTGACGCCAGGGTGCATCACGCTGTGCTCTGGCATGAAGAGGAGTAGATCCCCTTGACAGTGCCAGGTTCACAGGTACATTTTAGTGGGAGCGGGGAGCATCTCAGCTCGCTGCCCTCCTTCCAGAGTTTATGCTTAAAGTTAGCTCGGTGTATAAAGTCTTGGGCGTCTTGCAGATGCGCAGCATGCCATAGCGAGCATTCAGCAAACATCCGCCTGCTTTGGGGGCTGCAAGAGTGGCCAGGGAGGACCAGTGACACGTTGCAGAGCACAGATACGCAGAAGGCGGCCGTCTCCAAGGTGGTCTAGTATGAGGAGGCTGCGCAGTTGTGCAGAATGGGGGCACTGTAGAAAGCCAGGGCGGAGTGGTTTTCAGTAGGGTGCGTTCAGTGGCACGCAAATCCTCCTTAATAGGAGGATGTACTGAGCCCCAGGTTCTCGTAGTTGTGCCCTTTGGTAGGTATGCCTCCCGGGGACCGGTTTCTTTAAACCTAGAGGCTCCGAAAAGTTAGGACCTGCGGCTGGTTCAAAGTAAGGTGAGCACATTGGGTGGCTGCTTACCTGCCTGGATAAGCTCTTTCCGCAATTACTTGGTTGGTTCTATTTTGCTTACTCCAAAACCTAACGGAAGTAACTTAAAAGGCCTTCAGTGCACGTTCAACGCAAGACGAACGTTACAAAAAAAAGGAGAGTGGGCACGCCGCCACGCCAGAGGCAAAACCCTTCAGCAACGCAGCGGGTGTTCCACAGGCCGGTGTGCTGAACACTCTACCTGACATGCCTTACACGCGCTGCAATATCCTTCATCACCAGGTTGGGGTAATCCTTCTCGCTTCACTATCTCGCAGCTTGGCGTAGTAGACACTGCGCGTAATGCTTGCTCTGCATGAGAACGATGTAAAATTTACACCGTTCTCAGGGTGCAAAATCCTTTCTTGCTTCATTTTGCTTCCGTTCTCGCTGCTGCTGCGCTCGCAGAGCCCTTCGTAGCTCCTGGGTTCCCCGATGGACGATCTGGCAAGTGCCATAAAACAACGGCAAGCAAAAATTGGAGAACCTCACACAGACGCCTGAAGGACGGAGAACTAAAATCGAGTTAAAAATGCCAAGTAACCATACCACTGACACGGCAAAATGTGAGGAGACTCATACTTTGTTGCACTTACTCCCTTTAAAAGATTGTCGAAGCTGTCTCGTGCGTTGAAAAGGGTCATTTCTAGAACCCCTTTCTGCGGTAGTTTCAGCAGGTTCACCAGTGGGTCTTCGCTGCTCGCGGCTGCAGCCACTGCAGAAGCAGATTCTATTTCAGTGTGTGGTTCACACATGTGCTGCTCTTCGAGTCCCGCTTTTTGGCGATAAGGACCCTGCTGTGGATTTAGTGCTGAGTTAAAGCATGCCACAGATCTAGCACTACTGTCGAGCTTGCGTCAAAGAAACAGGTGTGGCGAATTTTTGGTGCGCAATGTTCCTGAGTCTACAGGAACTTCTGTAGTTCCTGTAGGCTCAGGAACTCCTGTAGTTGGGCTTTGTATACTTCTGAACAAGCAAGCGGTGCACCTACAGTAGCTTGCACGGTGCTCAGTACGAATGACTCGGGGATATGAGGGGTCTGAGTAATCGAAGTGATCGTCTGACCTTTTTGTTCGTCTAGAAAATTGATAATCCTGAAAGCGGTCTCGGTGTCTGTCTCGCGCAAGTCTATGCGTCCGCTCGTAATGTAGGGAATCTGAGTCATCAAAACGAAAATTACATCGAATGTGGATTCCCTACGCATATTACTGGAGAGCACAGCTAAAATGACATGGCTTTAAGACTTACGAGGATGCGGCTAAGCTTCTTTACCCACTCATTTGGGTCCGTCTCCCCCTCCTTGGTGATTTCACTCAGTGTTTCGCTGCATCTTTCCCTCTGCATTGTGCAAAACAACAGAATGAGTGCAGAGAGCTGGTACGGCCTTAGCATGGTTTTGTGCAGATCAGTAAAGCAGTGCTGGCAGGTAGACGGTAGCTGGATACTCCGTCTCTGCGTACCAGGTCGGCCTTAATGTAAAGAAAGGAAGTCAGCACCCTGACTTTGAGTGGCGTCGAAAGCAACACGAAACGGGGACGTAGGTAAGAAATTAGCTCTTCATCAAGCAGCTTTGCGGCATGACAGGAGGACCAGTTGTCTTTGATACAGCCAAGGTAGGCGACGTACTTGGCACTGAGTGCATTGGACTTGTCACTGTCCTCCCCTGATGACCTTCCTTTTTCTCCGTTTGACTCACCCGTGTAGCTGATTTCCCCGGATCGGTCAGGGGTGCTTCTTGGGCTGGATCGGACGGTCTCTGTCTGCGGGTGGGAGCTGGGGTTTTGGCGCGTGGCTGATGGGTCCACTGTGCTCAGTGCCTGCAAACACTCCTCCTTCATAATGAATTAAGCTACAGGCAACGGAAAAAGGACAACGGGATAACAGACACATATGGGGACATGTGTCATTCCACGCCACAGGAGGACGACACTGATCCCAGCTACGTACTGAACAGGTTCGTGCAGAAAATGACTCAGTGTGAAACTTTCCTCTCAACGCTGGGAAGCTAACGCTATCGTTCGACGTACTTTGCTGTGTGCATGGCCACAGAGGCGAGCCACTCCTCCGCATGCAAACGCACAATCGCAGTCCGAACTATAGCCGAAACAACCTAAATACTCTAAGTTTATGATCTTTTTTGTTATTATTATTAGATATATGTTGAGGACAGACACTGCACTCAATGCGAAGCCAACAATTTTGCTGGAGCGCACACATACAAGGCTTTACAGTGGGCTCCGGGCGTCCTGCACGCCTAGCGCATTCTTCTGGAGTCCAGCAGGATCAGTTTTGTGTTTGGATGAGCAATTATATATGTCAGATCCTAGATACGTTTCATTGCTTGATTGTTTGCACTGCGCGGGGCAGGTGCGCTTTCAGCGCTCATCTCAGATTTGCGGAAAGCCTTCCGTTGCAGTTATTGGAGCCTCACCGTAGGCCTCTGAGCCCGTCATAAAGCTGACGGCTGCAGCAAGCTTTCGTTCCATACCTTGGTGCATACGTTTACGTGCTCACTCACATCTGTGCCATCACGCAGATCTGTGCCATCAATCGCGCGCTTCGATTTGCGCTAGCCCATACGAAGTTGGAAGTTGCTACCTAGATGAGGAGCCTACACTGCCCTTTTAATGGTTTGCATGAGCTGCCCGTCAAAGTCCACATGTAATTTTCTCCCGTTAAAGACTACGCTGAGGGAAGTTGCTCTGAAGGAAAGTAGTCTGGCCCAAAACGCAAGATGCTGTAGAAGGCTACTGCGAAAAATGGCGCATCAATATAACGATAAAAGTAGTGCAACCAGGTGTGGAACTCCTTATTGTGGAGTACAGTAACTCCGGGTTGGTGGGTAGGGTATCAAGAGCCCGAGGGACTGGCTACTTCTTGAAGAAGGATCCACTGTTTAAGTTAGTTTTTTTAATAATCTTTGTGAGGACGTCGCTAGTTGTGCCAGTATCAGATTCAGCCAGAGACGCATATAGCAGGGAACTGTTGTTGGCGTTAATGTTTAGGCAAGCTTCGTAAACGCGGCTATGCCCCTTATATATTACTCTGCTCATCAGAAGTGCTGAACAACCGCTTTAGAAGGTGGCTGCTTTAGAAGGTGCCTGCGCTTCTTCTCAGTGCATTCCTTTTTGACGCCGATGCCGTGGATTACGGTGGAGCCTTCAAGTCCTTAAGCTGCCCTAGTATGACGACCCCCTGTACTGACGGCATTTGGCCGCTGGCCCGCTAGAGCAATGCAAGGTTGTGCTCGGCAAATTTGTTGGCGTGCCCAATACTGCAGCAATGCTGTGTTATTTTCGAATAAGCAGCTTATTGAAAAGAGCGTTGCATTCAGAAGGAGCTTGAGTGCACATGCTCTTCTATTGTGCCAGGAACTGGTAGGAGTGTCCATGAACAGTGTCCAATCTTCATATAGACTGTAATCTGAAGACAACACACTTTGGGAGTAGAAGAGCTGTGGCTACGGAGGTTGCAATTACGACGCCATATGGTAACGCTCGATGCAAGGGGTCGGGAATCTAGAAAGCCGTACAACCAGGCGCAATGTCAGGAACTGTTACCGCATTGGCATTGAAATGGGAGCGTGCGTATAAGAGCTACTCTGATAACTTACCAGCCCAGCGTGTGGTCGGCGCTACGTGAAGTCCTAGGGACACCGGCAATTGAGCCTGTGAATGCACAAATCGAATTAAACGGAAAAGTCGAGCAAAAACCATTGAATCAAATTCGTGAAATGGGCAGGCCTAACTGGGAGTGTAGTCCACCGTGGCAGATGAAATAGACCCGTGCCCGCCCAGCGCCCTTCCTCCTTAAAACTCTTCCGTATCCATTACTGTGGATCTTCACACCCAAAGGTAGCCCTCAGTACCTGATGTGCTAGCAGATGTAGCGACTGTTACAATACCAATTGCATCATGTAACATCGGGGCCAGAAGACTCGGTTTGCAAGCTCAACAAGCCCTAAAGCCTCGCCCCGTGAGCCATCCTACCTTCGGTCATGGTGGAATCGTCCCTGCATGGCCTACGAAGACCTTGCCAATTTATTATGAAGCGTTCACTAGCATATTTGTAGTTCGCTAAGCCTGTGCCGCTTGAGATGGATGCCCCCAGCCACCTTTGCCTCTCTTCCGCTTTTAGTGACTTGCTAAATGCCACTGGATGAAGGTAGTGGCAATAATCGCATCATACTGCGGGTAGCTATTGCTCGATGATAGGAAGGTACAGGGAGGGAAGATACAGCGGCATTGCTGGCGACCAAGAAAGGATAAGGGTGGCGATGCAGAATGGTCTGGGTCACCCGCAAGGCACCATGACGAATGTATGTAGGAAGTAACGCCAAACGGTGGGTGGCTTTGCTGATGCTCTAGCTGA